TATTTAATGCCGATAAAAATTACAGATATCTTATTTTTGTTATTAAAAACAGAATTGCTTATAAGGTGTGTGGCTGATTTTTGCTTTGAAATACAGCCAGCACAGAAAGAAGTTTCTGAAATAGTAAGAATCTGCATTATACTTAAAAAATTTCAGTTTATGTACTTGTGAAAGGTTGTGTAGTTTCTTTTTTTTCCTTGGAGCAGATAGTTTTTCTTTAGGAATTGCTTCAAGGAGATCTGATTTTCTTTGCATCTGAATTTTAGCTTATGCCGAGTGAAGCCCCTTCTTCCATTTTGTAAAAAACTTCGGGAAGCTTATTTTAATGCTGTAAATTGAAAGTCAGTGAAATTAGGTGATTCTTTATGAACATTTTGATTATTCTAAGCAGTTAATGAGTTGCTCGTATGTGACTAAACCTTATATATAACTTACAACGCTAAGGGAGACTGACATTTAACTTAAAATCTAGATGATTAGATCATTATATAAACAAATGAAATATCTCAGAAAAAAAGAAGACTTAAAGTTTATGCAATATATTCCTGACTTCACCCCTAAGGTAAAATGCTCTGTATATGCAATGCATTTTATCTAGTGTTTCTATAATAAAGTTATTTCATTGCTTGAGTTGCTTGATTGGTTTCCCTTTAAATATCTGTCATGGTATTCCTATGGCAGTTCTTTGAGATGATGTGTAGAACAGACTTATCTCAGTCTTTGTAAACTAATATTCCTATATCATTAATCTGATTTCTTTCTCTCTCCATTTAGAATATGTTTTAGCGCTAGACTTTGAGATCAGTTTGAACGATTGAAGCAAACACACGTTCATCTATAGCCATTTTAAATCCAGTTTTAGTTAAGGCAAACTAAATCTAAGTAGTAATATTTATGTGCCTTTTTCAGGCTATATCATGTGAATTGCAGAACAAAAACAACTGATGGCTCTATCTGAATGTTCAAAAATGCCAAAGACTTCAGTTTGCTGTTGCCATATTTAATAGCACTGGTAGTAAGAGGAAATAAAATGTCTGAGAGAAAAATGTGAAAGCAATAGTGAAGAAACAAGAAAAGATGTTGAAAGTATAAAGAAGAAAAAGGACATAACAATGAATGTGCAAATAATGAAAAGAGATGAAGGTAAAGTGGTAGTTGTTAACCAGCTTTCTGCTGAGTTTTAGAATAGGAGAAATACAGTCTCTTTGCGGCAGCCTGATTGTACATATATATACATTTTTTAAACTGCAGTGAAGAGTTAAGAATAAAAGCTTACAGAATTCATCTCGAATGTCTCGGTGTCCTCAAATACTCCTTTCTGTGAGGTGATACCAGCTTTGATTAGTCTGTTTTGGTAAGCTAGGATATAATTGTAGTGTATAGGTCACCATTTTGGTTTGGCTCAGTGGTACTGTTCTGGAGACACCCTCTTAATTGTCTCCCCTTACGGCATACTGGTTTAGTATGTTTGAACCAGATTCCTTTCCCAGAAAACTAATCTGGAAGCTCTGCTCCAGGTGCAAAGCGTTTTGCCATCCCTACTGGGGACATACAAGTCTGAATCCACAACTCAATCTTTGGAAAACTTTGAGCAGCATGCGTGGTGGTGATATTTGTTTCTGTGGACCAGATGAAATGCAATCCAAAACAAACCCTCTGAAGAGCTAATGTAGGTCAGCACCAGCTACTTTGATCTACTGATCCACTTCTACTGCTCCAGATTATTTGCCAATGTAGACATAGCCAAAATTGTTTACTTTTGTTATTGGTCAATAGCTAAGGGCAATGAAAATCTAGGACGTGTACCTCTTTCTCGAAATCTGGTTATATTTTTAAGTGTCAGTGCTAATATCGACACCCTTCAAATGCCTTGAATGTTCTTTGCAAACCTGTGCTAATACAAACTATCAAGGAAACAGAAAAATACTACCAATTACAGTGAATCAAATGACTAAGTCATAATTACCTTATGAAAGTTTGAACATGTTTAGCCTGTTTGTTTCTTCCTTAAGTTGTTAAAAATCAATCTTTTTTTCATTTCCTAATTTTATATAGAATGGAATAGCTTGTATACTTCTTACGCCAACTGTTTTGCTTGAGATGCTAATCTGCTTTGAAAAAAAGAAATCTGGAGTTTTGTAACAGTCATTAAGTGAGAACAAGACAAAAAAAAAAAGGTTGCCTTCAGAAGTATTTACATTTCTTAGTATCTTTCTTTACATTGAGATTTCATGAATCAAGATAGAGCGAATTTTTTTCCATTGGACAGAAATTTGGGGTTGTAGTTGGAAGTTGTTAAAGTTGTGAAAATTTAAGTAATACTTAGTTGCTAACGGTAAAGCATTTTATTTTGGAGTAACATTTGTCAAAGTTCTCCCTCTTAGCCCCATGTAAAAAGGTAACTTTATTCTCATTGTTTCCCAATAATTTTGCACAGTTACCACTAGCATAGTACCCTCTGACTAAGCCAGTGATTAGAAATAGTCAGTTATATTTCTTGTTTATTAGATCTTTGCAGAATCCAAGCCTTAGCTTTTGGCATTTCTCTTCTAGAAGATTTCCAAGATTCAAGTAGGATTTCTATTGATAAGGCCGTTTAAAACAACAGCCTTTTAATTAAAAAATCTAAGGTTGCAGTAACACAAATGATCAAATCCAGTTTGCAGAACTTACTTTTTATTAAAGCTAGTGACTTTTTTTAATCAAGTGATTTGCAGTGTAGTTTAAATTGCTTTCCTTTAAATTATTCTATGATGATGTAACTAGCAAAAACATATTATAATAGCTAGCATACTTTATTCTCTCAGGCTAAAACCTCTCTCAATTTCTGTAATCATTTCTAAAAGAGCCATTGTAATTGTTGGCATTAATACAGTTTTTGAAAGAGGAATGACACTCAGCTTAACATGAAGAAAAGGGTTGAAAAGTCAAAACTTGAAACTTGTAAGCCAGCAAGATATGAAGAGTCATCATTATTTTAGTACCTTCCTATGGTACCTATAGCACCTTCCTATGAATGCTGCTCTCTTCTGTTCAAGTTTATGTTTCCTTATCACTCTTGCTGCAAATTTGTTCATATTAGACTGCTCATTTGCCCTAGTTGAAAGCATTAACTGTAAAATAAGCCTAATGCAACTTGATTTTTAACTAGATCCTGGCTGCTAGTTGAGATGGCAAATTTTTAAGCAGTTCTAATTTTAGCATCTTCAGTAATGACCTGGAAGGGAAGGTTCTAAATGTTTGCAAATAAAGCACAGCGATACTAATCCGGGAGGCGCTGAAAACTTGATAGGGCAGAGGAAGGCTTTGAAGGGCAAGAATTAAGTATATGGGAACATGTTTTGGTATATAGAAGAAGTATGGTCTGATTATTCTGTGAAGAAAAGCTTGAAAAGCGGTAAAAGAAAAGAGCTGAAGGAAGCCTAAAATGAGTCAGTCAACCGTAGTGATTGTGGTCCCAAAGAGCTAATATGATTTGGTGGTGAGTACTTTAGATAGTACAAGAGAGTAATAGTTCTAGTGTAAATAACTTCGAGGACTCATTTGAAGCTTTCTTTGTTTACATGTAAGTACCAGGGTAGAATCTGACTTTCTGAAAGTTTGGGGGGGGGGGGGGGGGGAGAAATGTGCAAAGTTACCTTTTCACTCACAGCACTATTTTAAAAGTTCCTATCTCAAGCATGGTAGCAGCAGAGTCTAAAAACACGATGCAGAAGTTCCACAGATATTTTCTTTCAATAAATATTAAGACCTTACAGTATTTTTAAAAAACTGGGGGAGTGGAAAATGATTCAGGAAAATTTTTTGCCATTTATATTTGAATTATTCTGCAAGCTCCAGAAAACTTTTAATTAAAAAAAAATTCATAACTAGGTTTGAAGAGTTTCACTATCATAATTTATCAACTTAACATAGTCAAATTGACTGAGCTCAAGGTTTTGAAGATCATTCTGGTCTATGGCAAGAATGAATTTTTTGGTGTGATCTTGCTGTTTATCTCTAATGACCCTTAAAGAAGGTGAATTCAGTAGTTTTTCTTGAAACAACTAGTTGACAGAAACTCTGAAAGTTTCTGATTGCTTCGATAGCACGCTACCAAGGAGGAATGCATGCTGCTGCTGCTCAGGAAAATGAAGAAAAACTTGAACAAATTTGATATCTGCCTAACTTGATAGTGTTTTAGAAGCAGAAGGCTATGAAATGGTTGATTAAATGTTAAACAGTGTTAATTTAAACTTACAGTGCATTTCCTTTTCATAGTGTGTGTTTGAACATTCAGAAATTCGGCTCTGTTCAGTGATCTAATATCTGAATGTCTAAGCCAAGATGTTCTTTTTTTGCTTCCAGAAATTTAAAAACGTATGCACAAAATGATTAAAATAAAATTAAGTTTAATTTAAAGTTGAGTTTATATGCCTTTCTCTATTGCTGCATTGCTGTTTATGTTTAGTTCATGCCATGTTATTGTTTCTTTTGGTAATGCACAGTTTTTCCTGCCTAAGTCAGTCCCGTTACTGGCTACGTGTTGCTTAATGTTTTGTTTCATTTTGATCCTTGCCTATAAGATTCAGAGTGGCTATCCAATCTGTATTCCAAAGCAGTTACAAAGTATTTGGAAAAAATCTTCCAGGGCGAAGTAAAGAAAGTCTTTCTCCCTTGGAGTTACTCATTTTCTAGCCGAGACAGCAATCTTGGTTTCCATTTCTTAAGACGTTTCCTTTCTGCATGAATTGCAAGGCTTTTTTGTTTTGTTTTGTTTTTTCCTTTTCCTGTTAAGGTACTTCTTGCCTAGGTACTATGAAGGATGTGTCCTGTATCTCAGATTTTGCAGTCGTGCTAATTCCAGTTGAGTCTGATTACTCATATTAAAAACTCTGACAAAGGAATAACTCTAGACTTTTGTTTAAGGAGGTGAAGGCATAGCGCAAAGTGGGTGTTTGGAATTCTGCAGCTTTCCTCTGAATCTTTGTTTAATGCGCAACTTGTGTTTTTTACAACAGGTAGTTGTCGTGGGGGGAAAAATTGAAGGATGCAGTGGCAGGCACCAGAATTTTAGAGAAGTAAGTCTTTGCTTTGGCTAAATCATGTTAATCCTATGAGAATAACTGTAAATTTGCTAAGACACAAATGAATTTTGTCACATCTTTTTTTGAATATATTTTAAGTTAGTGTCCCATATTGTTTACCTTTTTATTTTTTGTTCTGTTTCTCCGCTGTTCCATTCTTCTTTCTTTTGTTATCACTTCCTGGTCTCCAGGATGATGTGCAGGACTTCTGGGGGAAGAGGGAGGGGATCTGTGTTTGCTGGTTTTTGACTTGGATTGTGCTTCAGTGACAAAACATAATGTTTACGCTCATTTTATGGTAACGTGAACGTGAAGTCTCACTTCCTCTTTCTCTTATAAAACCCTTTCCAATGAAGTGCGATGCCTACTCCATTCTTCAAGCAGTCAGTCTACCCTTCACAAGTGCTTTAGAGAATCGTTGAGTTGCCTGCAGTGGAAAATCTAAGCATCAGAAGCACTTTTACAACTGCATAGACCAAGAAGCGTGCAATTAACTTAAAAAAAAGAAAAGTCTTGTCCATCACTGAATGTTTTCAGTGTTTTATTTATGTATTTGTATTTCTGAATGAGATGAATAATTAAGTTTCAGATTAAATGTTAGCTTTCTGCAACATGTCATTTTTTCCTGCGTTACAGTTAGCAACTGTCCCAATTTTTTTCTGTATCCATTCATTACTTTTCTACAGTCATAATGGTTACAAATAGCTGCTCTTGATATGCAATTCATTCTTTGATTGAATTTCCTTTAAATAAATTATCCCTTTAGATGAACAGTCACCATACAAATATCGGTACTGAGGATCTTCGTAAAGCAATCACAGTTCATGCTGATGTGTTGCTAGGTGAAATAGGTTAATAACTACTTAGCAACATCTAACAAGTATACGTACTTCTGTGCTTCACATTTTTGTGAGTTTCCCGTTGACGCTAAGGCTGAGTTTGGGGTTTGTTTCTATGTTCAGAAGCTCTTTGTGAGCCTGGATCTACTTATATAAACAAACTCCTGTGCAGAAACGTCATTTGTCACAGGATGTTACATGAGATACAGCAGTGCATGGGAGACTTTGTACAGGTGCTTCATCTAAACATGGAGCAGACTTCTTAAGCAGCAACTACATTCTTTGAGCACAGATTTGAATCTCATTTCTCCTAATTTTGTTATATGGTTGTAATTGAACACATGGTATAGGTCAGCACGAGCTGGCACTATTACCACAAGATGTCTAACCCGGTGATTCACTGTTTCCCCTTCCCTTGTGCCAACACAGCTTTTGAGCAGCTATATGGTGAAACAATTTTAGCTGATTTATCTAAACAAAGCAATGTTTAGGTTGGTTTTAGGCTGGACTAGTTTTATCTCCTGTTGACTGCATGGTCACACAAATACTAATGCTGTCAGAAGACAGGGGATTTAACACAGGAGTGGAAAGGAGTGGCCAAAGTAATAATCCAAGGCTAACGTTATCATGATAAATTTCAGTATAACCAACAACTTTGGTAAAGGTGCTTTCCAAAAACAAAAATCGTAGCTTGTGAAGTGCCTATTAGCTATAGCTGTGTAGTTATCTGCATGGCCTATAAACAGTGGTCTTCCTATCTTTTAGATGAGGTAATTCTTTACCTGCAGACTGATTCAGAGAAAGGACTTCATCTGTTCTCCCGCATCCTAGATGAGTATCCTATCCACAAGTTAGGAATGATTCTTCACGAGTCGAACAATCTATTGACTTTTTGGATCTCTGAAGATCTTTAGAAATGCAATAGATAGAAAAGAGTTGGGCAAAGAGGAACCTCCTGAAGTTCAACAAGGGCAAGTGCAAGGTCCTGCATCTAGGGAGGAATAACCCCATGCATCAGGACAGGCTGGGGGCTGGCCTGCTGGGAAGCAGCTCTGCAGGGAAGGACCTGGGAGTGCTGGTGGATGACAAGTTGACCATGAGCCAGCAGTGTGCCCTTGTGGCCAAGAAGGCCAATGGTCTCCTGGGGTGCATTAGGCAGAGTGTTGCCAGCAGGTGGAGGGAGGTGACCCTCCTCCTCTCCTCAGCCCTGGGGAGGCCACATCTGGAGTGCTGTGTCCAGTTCTGGGCTCCCCAGTGCAAGGGAGACAGGGCACTACTGGAGAGAGTCCAGCGGAGGGCTACAAAGATGATGAGGGGACTGGAGCACCTCTCCTATGCAGAAAGGCTGCGAGAGCTGGGCCTGTTTGGCCTGGAGAAGAGAAGGACTGAGAGGGGATCTTATCAATATGTATAAATATCTGAAGGGGAGGTGTCAAGAGGACGGGGCCAGGCTCTTCTCACAGGTGCCCAGCGACCGGACGAGAGGCAACAGGCACAAACTGAAACACAGGCAGTTCTATCTAAATCTGAGGAAAAACTTCTTTGCTGTGAGGATGACAGAGCACTGGCAGAGGTTTCCCAGAGAGGCTGTGGAGCCTCCTTCCCCGGAGATATTCAGAACCCGCCTGGACGTGATCCTGGGCAATGTGCTCTAGATGACCCCTGCTTGAGCAGGGCGGTTGGACGAGATGATCTCCAGAGGTCCCTTCCAACCTCGACCACTCTGTGAAAACAGAGAGCAAGAAATTTTGACAAAAAGTTTTTTGAAATTTGTGAGTGTAATTCTTTTTTTGTAAGAACTGAGTGTTGATTTGGGTTAAAAAGTATTAAAAGGATTAAATGTTCATTGAGATAATTTTTCTTCTGTGTAATAGAATTTTAGAAAGGACAATTTGTATGCATTTCAAAAAAGCTTTCTCATTGCCTTTCTCATATCACAGCACACGGGCACTCTTACTAAAAATCTGGCAGTTAAGGTGCTCGACTAACCTTTAGGTTCATATTTTTCTACAACATTAATTACAGTAGATGAGTGCTTTGTTTTTGTTGCACTAGTAATAATTGTAAAGTCTCATTTTCTGAATTTACATATGGATTTATTTCAACACAGAACAGAAATTTTTTATGGGATGGAAGAATTTTCTTTCTCCTAGGTCTTTCTTTGAATATGTCATAATTGATATCTTTTGAATACAGATAATGGCCTTTCTTCAGGACAGTTTTCAAAAATTAACTTAATTTCTGTATCCAGATATTTTCCTTGTTACTTTCATTGGGAGAGAGGAAAAATAGTTTGACTTCTTGATCTTACTTCTCAGTGGGAAAAAAATTATTTATTTATTTACTTTCCCATATATATTTTTCAGTGTAAGAACATAGTGTTTAAAACTTTTCTCTTCTGTGGTCAAAATTGTTAGTATTCTGAGTGTTATTCCTTTTCTGAAGAAAACATGATAAACCATTTTAGAAAGAAATTGTTTAGACTGACATCTGTATCTGTTTTATAGAAAAGATTTAAAATTGCTAATGTTCTGTTTATACATGCTTTTACAATTGAATGTGTCATTTCAAAGTGCTATTAACTCTTTGTGATAGATATCTTAATATTGTATTTTAAAAAGTCTTCCTTAAATTTCTTTTGAGAAATCATCAAGCGAAGAAAACAGGAATTTTTTATGTGGTAACTTCTATTCTGTAGGCAATGATTTTTGCTTTGTATGTAGTAGATAGCTTTCTGGGATAATGACATTGAGTAGCAGCGTAAACTTTGGAGCATGTGCATGGTGTTTTTCCCCCTTTGAACTTCTGAAAGAAACCTGCCAATTATAAACATTCTCAGTTTAGTTTAAAAGAATTAGAAGAAGGAACATAGGATTTTATTTGCTCGTTATATAATATACTAAGTTTTGATGTCTCATGTGAGAAAGAATTAATGGCCGAATGTCAAGATTTTATACAATACAGAGCACTTTTTCTTTAGCCCAGGGAACATTTATTTAGAATCTGTTCTTGAGCGGGCTGTGTGCAGGTGTGCTGTTGTTTCTGCTCAGAAGCCCATTTAAGTAAATGGAGATTTACACAGACTTGGAAGACTTTCACCTGTGAATTGTAAAATTAACAGATGAGTTTCTCTTGATGAAAACTATAAGAATATTTGTCTTAGCTCATGTTGTGAAGTAGTGTTTATGGTTAAGCACAGTTTAAGGAGGTGTAGTTATATTTTTCAGCCAGGTTTGATAATGAGTGAAATTGTTAGATGTGAAAGCACAGTGCGTACTCTTTTCCTTGTTGCAGTTCCAGCAGCATCAGGTTCAGCTGAGAGATTCCTGCTCGTCTTTGTAGAGGGATCCTGTTCCAAGGTATGAGAAGCCACGCTTTTTGATAAGAACAAAATAATAAAGATTTTATTTAAAATTGTGAGTGTGGTAGGTTGGTTGGTTTAAGCACAGTGTCTTACAAATTTGCTTTAGAATGTGGTCAGAGCTAACGGCGTGAAAACCTCCAGTAAAAGCCAAGGAAAGTGGTGAGAAGCAGGGTGGAGCCTTTTCAGTAAAAGCTGGTGCGAGTGGGATCGCAACGGGTAGCCGCAGTGTTTCTCTTGTACAGACTAGTTCCACAGGATTTACAAGCAGTGTTTCTGTCACGCTTATTATGGCCTTGTTATTGTTTACTATTGAAGGAAGGAGATCTGCAGTAAGGAGCTGTGAATATAAAGGACTGAGAGAATATTTTAAATGAGAATATGGAAGAATAGCAATTGATTCTTATGGCCAGGTCATTAAACACTGCCTTTTGACTTTATCTTATAGCCTCGGTTAAGTTTGTATTCATTCTTGATTATTCCTTACAGTTTTCTGAGACAGGGAGAAGTTCATTAGCAAATTCTGAAAGTCAGTATTAAAACTGCTTTT